CCCACTGCAGTAGAATCCCGGTTGACTTGTACTGCAAGTTCCACAAAACCTCCACCACGGATGTTGCCGAGGTCCTCCGGTCGTCCCGCCGGCCGCCGGTCGCCACCCCGGTGGTAGAAAAATATTTTTTTATTCTTTTTTATTCGTCGAGACTCTTTGGATCTTTGTGAAGTCCCGATCTACAACGGTCGATCACAATTCGAAAAATATAATTTACAAAATTACATAAATCGATTCCTAGATCCAGCGAGTGGATGTACATGCCTTCTACTAATAAATTAAACTATCCTGTCAACCCCCGGGCAATTAATACAAGCATTCATCCATAATTCCTCGACAATCTCGAGGCTTTGAAAACAAATTTAAAACCATACAACCAACCATCAATTAAGCACAAACATTTAAAATAGGTGGCCATAATAGTAGATTAACTACTTCCTGCAAAACCAAGTTATGCATATAATCCAATATATATGGCTGCGCTTGAGCACACATAGACAATATAAGCCGTTTAATCCGGATCTTGTACATAACGAATTAACCTTGGCTCTGATACCAATTGTTGGGACCTATGAGGATCTCGATATGCACAAATCACGGATAAACATTCAAACATAAACCTATGCGCAGCGGATCTAAAGGTTTGATGTAGAAAACTTACGACTTAAAATTTATGTAGATCTGGCTGGCCCGAACAGATGACCGCAAATCAAATCTTCTCGTAATCGAACAAACTTGACCAATCCAGGAAGCTGACGTCACGGCAAAGTCAACGGCGTTGACCAGTTAGAAATCGGAGCATCCACGTGCTCTCACGCGCGCGTGTGAGTCCCAGCAGCAGCAAATTTCCGGTGGCGCGTGTGGGCGCGTGCGGCGGCGGCTGGCGGCGATCTTGACGGTGATCTCTCCGACTCGTCGTCCTGGTCGTCGTGGTATGGTCACTTGCTGGTTTTGGTCTCCGGTTTGGATGGATGATAGATTTGATTAGAATCCCGTATATACCTTAAGATCTTCTACTGTATTCTCAAACAGCTATCTAGATCTTGTATCAGTGGAGCACAAGAAATAGAACAACTCCTTGGAAGAGAGAGAGAGAGGGGGCGGACGAATTGCAAGGTTATGGAATTGTGTCTCTTTTCCAAGAGTCTAATGCTGTATATATAGAGCTACAGTAGGGACCCTAAGGAGAATAGAATAAGGGT